GGGAAAGAGGGAAAAAAAAGTGCAAAAGTTGTTCCCATTTTGGTTTTATATCCCAAGTGCGACTTTGGAAATTATAAAGCACATATACGTGATTTTTACAACATTTTACCAAACAACGCACCTATAAATATATATGAACAATAGCCATGTGCAATTTCCACCACGCAAATAGTGACCAACACCGATGATTTGATATCATTGTTGGAACTAAATTTTTATTTTTATTTTTTTATCGACAAATGTTAATTATTAGTAATAATAGAAAAATATTTTCATGCAACTATATAGTAGAAAAAAATTATTAGTAAACAAGTTATGTTTTTTGTTTGGAGTAATAGTAGAAAATAATTTTCATGCAACTATATAGGACAAAAACATATACGACAAAAACTACGGGTAAGGCTAGAAAAATATTTTTCATTCAAAGAAAATTACATTTTTCTAAATGCAAGAAGAAATCAAGTACACTCTTCATTTATTTTTCTATTATAAGAAGAATCAATATTCACGGCGCAAATTACAATGTGAAAATACTATCCACTCATTAAATATTTTTCAATAAGATATTTTTTTTGTTTAATAAGTTACACATAGAATTTAAGGCTATATATATTATAGGTGAGATTCATCTTACTCTATTTAATATTTAATATTTTATATCAAATTTTAATTATTTAATCATTAAATTAAAATTTCTTGATATATAGTTTAAAGTGTAAAAAATTTTAAAAATTTAAAGATCATCTAATATTTCATTATATAAATTAAAACAACATATAAAATATTTTTATGATTATATACTAATTTGAATAAATGAAATGAAGTATCGAATATCTTTCAATTATTTTTAAGATCTAGTTAACTTAATCTATATATTAAGAACTTTTAATTTAATATTTACATCGTTGAAATTTGATATAAAATATTTGTTATTGAATAAACTTACTTCATTTAATAATTTATGTTCTATATCAAATTACTATAATCCAACCATTAAATTTCAAGTTCTTAATGCATAAGTTAAGTTAGAAAATTTTTACAAAATTTTAAAATTATTTGATACTTATTTCATTAATTCAAATTGATAAATAGTTATAAAAATATTTTATACGTTGATTTGAATTATGAAAATAAAGTATTAAATAATTTTTAATTTTTTTAAAAATTTGTAAGCTTAGGAGGGTGTATTGGTTTAGGATTTCATAGGATTTTAAAAGACTTTTTTTTGAGTAAAAAAGTTTATTGGTATTCAATCAAGATTTTATGTCACTTAAAAATAATCTAGTGATATTCAATCATGATTTTTAAGATTTTTTAAAGAGTCCATTAAAATCTATTGGTATTTATTTGAGACTTTTTACAACTTAAAAATAATCCATTGGTATTCAAAAATATAGGGATTTTAAAGGCTTGTTGTATTAGAGGGATTTTGATGGACTTTTTAGTGGTATTTATAAATACCAAATTCATAAAACAATCTCATCCAAACCCATAAGATTTTGGAGGATTGTTTGAAGTGACTTTTCAAGTGCTTCAAGAATTTCTAAGTTAGTTTTTCATCTTTTTTTTTATGCTCATGTCTTCTCCATTTTTTTTCTCTTGTTAATAATATTGCACTACTACTTGTATATAATATTGTACTACTATTCTCATTTCATTCCCCTATTTGGTGAAACTTTTATACGTAAATGATAGTGTCATTAACTTGTTTTATTTTTCTCTTCGTTCTCTTTAATTTACTTGCTCTATTTTGGTCTATTTAATTGAGATTGTTCCTTAGTTATATAACACAGAAAACACTTGAAATTTTAACTTTTTTTATAACACGCGTCAAGAAAAGAGAAAGGTGAAAGCTAAAATTGAGTTAGGGCTTTTGTAAGTAGAATGAGATAAGAATGGATCTTAGTTGGGGAAGAACCCTCTCAGCACAAAAATTGCGATCTCTCTCTCTCTTGAATTTATTATTGTTATCATTTCCCTTTTATGACTCAACATTTTTTTTTTACTATGAATTTTATTTTTTTTAATTTTTATATTATGAAATTAGGATTTTTATAATTTAAAAAAGAAAATTAACATAAGACACGAGTGAATAATTAAAAATAATTAAAAATTAAAAAATTATTTTGTACCTGTAACAAATTTCATAAAAAATTATTTTGTCCCACTATTTTTTTTAATCATTTATAAAATTATAAATAAAATATTTTAAATCACAAATTATAAAAAATTTGAAATGTTGTTTAGAATATTTTTTAGCATATGTGGGACTACATAATTTTTTTCGTAAAGAATGTCATTATGATGAATTTCCAATTGAAGTGATGGACGAACCTTCATCTTCAACATTACTAGTTAATAAAAATTATAATTTTGAGCCTATTATTCAAACACAGGAGCAAAAGCGAAAATATATTAATGTTTGGAGAACTAGTATAGTTATGAATATGTGGGTGAATTCTATTTAGAACAACATGATATTACGAAAAATATATTATTTTTATTTATCCAGACATTATTGTTTTTTATTATTATATTTGACACTTTTAAATTTGAATGTATGAAAAAACAATCTTGAATTTTTATCCTATTTCAAAAATTTATGAAATTCTGCAAAGTTTAGAAAGTCCCGCAGAATTCATTAAAATCCTAACTTAAAAGTCTTGCATAATCTATTAAAATCATGATTGAAAGTCTTGTGGAATCTTACAAAATCTTAAAAGTCATGAAAATCTTGCAAAGTCTTTTAAAATTCACAGGAATTTTTTCAACTAAAAAAATCCTTTAAAATCTTAATCCAATACACCCCCTTAATCTTTTTTCCTCTCTCTATATATATAAAGAGAGAAAAAAATAAATTGTAGTTATGATATAAGTATGAAGTATCCACTGTTAAAATTAATAACTAATTTTTATCAAAAATCATAAATGTAATCAAAATAAATATTCGTTTCTCAATATAATCTATTGTATACATTAAATCAAAATTCAAACTCAGAATAATTTAATAAAACCTCATATATATATATATATATATATATATATATATA